ATAGTCTTATTCAAATATGTTTGATCATACTGTTTCTTCAAATCAAACATGCATTTAAGGAACAATATAATCATACACACACTTTATATCAAACATGCATTTAAGAAACAGTATGATCATACACATACGTGAAACTTATAACGTAAACGTAAACAGGGACGAAATTTTGTTTTGACATACAGAATATATTATTTTCTAATTAATGTCGTGACAGTAATTTTATATTTTAATGTAAAAAATAAATAAATAATTTTGAAAATAATTCACAATAAATCACAAGAGCTATAAAATTATTACAAAGCATTTGCTGATGCGATTGACCTTTTGTCAATTCGTAATTATAACAACATACTCTTCATACATAATAAACACGCACCAACGTCATAATATTATATTTATATGGGGGTGCAATGAAAGCACACCATATGTACTATTCCAACAATAATTATATTTTAGCCTAAAATTCTAAATAAAAAAGTGCAATCATTTCAAATCAAAAAAAAAAAAAACAAAAATTCTCATATCATGAAATAAAAATTTAAATTTCACAAATTATGTGTGTATAGAAACATATATACATACATACATACATACATGTTTATTATATGCACTTATCAAAAAATTTAAAATAAAATATTTACACAGAGAGAAAAACAAAAGCAAAAAAATATCCCAGATTTTTAAATTTTTTTTTTCTATTTTTCTTTTTTTTTTTGGTATAGTCGTGACTGGGAAAAATTCATAATTTAAGAATAGTCATATTTCTAGAAAAAAAAAAATAACAAAAAAAAAATAAAAAATAAAAAAATTATTATGGTAAAAATTTTGAGATAAGAAAAAATTTATAGATACACTCTGAAATAACTGTATCATGATGAATCATTGCATTCATTTCTCTATATATTTGATAATATATATATATATATATATATATATATATATATACATATATATGAATTTATAGAGCTACAAGCAACAATAACACTATACTTATATAACATATGATTTAATAATATTGAAGTTATCAAAATAAAAACCTAAAAAATTTTTCTTCAAATTATATTGAGAAAGAGGTAAAAAACAAGAAACACATGAGAATAGAAGAGAAGTAAGGCGGGGGAGCGAATTTTTTTTTTTTATAAAATTTAGATTTTCAGTGTGTGTAGTTAGTCTGGTTTTATTTCATTTTTTCAAATAACAAGAGAGAAACCGTCAATTATAATATGACCTTTTTGGAATATTTTCATTTGATTTTTTGTAAGGAATTTTTTTTTTTTTTTTTGGGTTTTAAAAAGAAAAATAAGTAGAAAAAAAAATGCAGGTAAAAAAAAAATAATTTTTAATACAAATTTTGTGGGTTCTTCTTCTTCTACTTGTTTTTACTCTCTAATAATATGTGAATATCTTCTTAGAATTTTATGGTTTTTCCATTGTATTATACATATATACGTATAACATTATAATATGTGCTAACATAAATACAATATCAATTTACTTACCTTATACATATTTATTGTGTTTCAGTTTTCTGTTATTTTGGATTTTTGGGGTAACAAACAAAAAATATAATGATTATGGGTACCAATTTCATTTTAAAAAAAAAATATTGTATTAAATCGAGTATATTATTGTAGTTATTTCTGATATTAGTTATTTATTTCAGGTATAAACTATAAAAACTTAAATTATGTATAAATGTATGTACATATATGTATTAGAAACAGCTGAAAAATTAGAATTTATTTTATTTTTTAGGTTTTGTGAACAATTTGTTTTTTTTTTTTTCATATAATATTTGGGTTTTTTTAAAAAAAAAAAAATACGATTAAAATTTTTTTTTACCGAAAATATAACAATAATTTGTTTGACCTTTTAAGAATTATAATGGAGCATTTTATAAAGAATAAATTTTATATATATATATTAATAAAATAAGTACGGGAATTGACACGTGTAACAGATTTTTTTTTTATGGTGGCTAATTTTTTCTCTGTGTGAGAATGTGGACAATATATTTTTGTCGTGTTTTTTGAGTTTGATAAACTATTTTACATATATTTCTTTTATATCTTTTTAAATATTAAATATTATTTATGGTTTTCTATATTTTCGGATAATTATTTTATGTGTATGTAGGTAGTTGAAGAGCAATATTTGAATAATTTTTTAGTTAAATATTATTATTCATTTAAATTTATATTTATTAATTATGTTTGTGTACTTAATGGTCACGTAGAAGTTATAAATAATATAAAATTGAATTTAATAGAATGTGGTATACATACATATATAAAGAGAATAATTTGTGCTTATAATATGTTTATAAATTCTAGTTAAATTTGATTAAATTTATGATTTGAGTACATGAAATATTAATAATTTTTAATTTATATTGAAATAGTTATGAAAAATGTTTGCTTTGAAATAAGAATATTAAGTTGTATTTACCGTTATATGAGTAATTTTATTATAAAAATTTATTATTTAATTAGAACAGTGACGGATCTCCCATATATGCATATAAACCAATTTGAAATGGGCGCCGAAAAACAAGGGCGCAATTGAAAACAAAAAAAAAAAAGAAAATTTATAAAATAAAAATTTTTCCCATTACGCCTTTTTCAAAGTCTCTTTTTTTTTAATTTACAGCAAAATTAATTTAATAACATGCCGGGCTTTTATTCTATAACTAATCTTGCATTTGTAATAATAAAATCGCAAGAAAGTTGTTATTAGGAGCAATATTCAATGTTTTTTTTGGATATTGTTCATCATTTACACATTACAATTTAGATAATTGATTAATTAATTAAATATGAGCCTTGTTTCATTCTAACTGTTATATTTACATTTTTGTGAGAAGTAATATCACATTAGAATTCTCATTCTCTCAATTATATTTCATATAGTTTTTCTCAATACATCATTTGAAATTTTTTTAAAATATAAAACGAATGACATATTGCATTCCGTGGTCATTATTATTCTATTGACAGACTATATGTACAATTACAGTTCGACGACTCAATTTTCTAAGGAAAAAAAAAATACAAAACACCCCGAAAAAATTATTCATTCGCCTTTGCTACTTCGTTTAATGTAAATTTAAAATTATTATATAAGTTTCTAAAAGAGTATTGGACATTCTCATCGGCAAATTCTATCTTCGAAAAAAACAACCAAAATACGACTATTATGCGAGATGAGGTGAATTTGCCCAATACCCCAAAATCTAATAAAATTAACCGAATCAAATTTATAATAGGATTACCAACCCTTACAATCCACAAATTTACCACCCCATTCAAATATTTTAATATTATGAAAGAACAAAATACTTAAGGTCAAAAACTTTTTTATAAATTTTAATTTTCAATTTAAAAAAAAAATATTTTCATGACTTTGTCTTTCTAATTTCTCCACAACAAAATTTTTTTATTGTTTTGTATAATAATCAAGAATAAATATTAAAAGTAAAAATTTGAATTTTTTTTTTTTTGGGGAAAAATTTGAATAGAAAAATTTTTTAACCTTTTTTTTTTCATAGAATTTTTTTTTTTAAATAATTGTTTCTAAGAAAATTGTCTAGATAAACATTCTTTTTAAAGTGACCCGCATAAAATTATTTAAAATTGTTTTGTAAGACGTTTAAGAATAATGGTTGCTTTATTTTTTTTTTTTTTTTTTTAAAGTTTCGGACATTATTCACTATGTTCAAAGCAAAAGAAAAAAAGAAAGAAAAAATATTTTTATTTATTTTATTGTTTTTTTTTTTTTATTAATAAATAATAAATATTGGCACCCGTAAACGTAGAATGTAGATAATATGAAAACTGGTTCGTTAATTGGGCAAATATTAGATATACAGTTCGAATCTTGTATGAGTGGGCCCAATTTTTTCACCTTGTATGAAAAATTTAATTTTTTTGTAGACTTAAATTGCTATAGCCCTCAATTAGGATTGGTATAGCCTTAACGGTTAGAAGAATAGCACTTTGGTTATTTTTCATATTTGGTTTAGAAAATTTAACTCTTTCAGGCACAAAAGGCATATTCGAACTTTTATCATTAGGTTTGTTTATAGCGACAATATTCAGGTTAAGATAACGTAAGCTATATGAAGCTATATAATGTATACAAAAATTTGTCTCTGAACTTTCACGCATTGCTAAAAATTTCCTCTCATTTAATAAAACTTATAACTATATGAGCTTATCTCTGACTAAACAAAATCTAATTTATCCGAACTAATCCCGACAATTTAAAGTTAATAAGAACAATGAAAACTAATACTCGTATATAGAAATTTTTAAAATATTTTATTGACACTTTCGATTAAAGAGAGCGTAAGAATGTCAAAAGCAGCCTGAGTTTTTAATCTATTTCCAATAATATTCGTCATATACTGATAATTAACTAATAAAAAAAAAAATTTTTTTTTGTGTCAAAATCTATTTTCAAGGCAGTGTGAAATTTAATCATTCACATAGAAGCAAATATTAATTTAAAAGTTTACTCATAAATGTAAAATGAGTTCCTATAAATTTTTTTTTATAATAAATGAGAAATCTACAACAATATTGTTCTTGTTTTTTGGTTTATCGCGAAATTTTCGTTGAAAAAAAAAAAAAGGATTTTTAGTACAAAAAGAGCAAAATGCGAAAAAAAAACAAAAACGAGTAGACGATAACTAGACTTTTAGTAAATATTTAAGTATTTTTTATGGGTGGGGTGTGATAAAAACAAAAATGTTGGGTTTGCCATTGCTATTTTGTAGAAAACAAAAAAAAAAAAAAGTTTTACACCGAAAAAAAATTCTCAGGGATTTTTATTTTTTTTCGAATTTTTCATTTATTAATTTATTTTATTTTTTATATTTTTTTTAATTAAATAAAAGTTAACCTTAAAAAAAAGTTCCATATATTTTTTTTTGTTTTATTTTTTACCTACCTATACCAACACATTTGCAATATTAATTTTATTCTTTTCTCTTTTTTCAGGTACGTTTTCAATACTTGCTCTTTTTTTCTCAATTTTTTTATGGGATTCCATCAATTATTTGGGAATAAAAATATAGAAGAAAAAATTCTGTGTGAGTAAATATAAAAAAAAAAAACTTTTAATTATTTTAATTAATATCAAATAAAAAAAATAAAAAACAAAATCCTAAATAAATGAATGAATAATAAAATTATTTGAAAATATGTAAAAAAAAGAGCAACAACAGAAAGAGCAAAAAGAGAGGTTGGAGGGAAGGGTCCTCGCAATATGCTTAAAGTATTTTATTTTTTCTCTTGAACTTTTTTGACCTTGAAAAGTTCTTTAACATTTTTTTTAACAATTAAAGCACATAATATTTTCTTTGAGTGCAAGAGCAAAAAAAAACTCTTTTCCAGCATTTAAAAATTTGTGTTTTTGTACCGTTATTATGCTTCTTATATACATTCAATATTTTGGAATAATTGGAATGTACACTCAAAGAAAATATGAAGGAAAATTTCATAAATAATTTTTTATTTGTTATAATTTTTTTTAAAATATAATTAATAATAATATTATTTTATTTATTCATCAAATCAACGGAGTAAGGCTATTAAAAGTTTATTTATTAAAATTAATCACTCAAATCTCAAAAAAATTAAATTAAAATAATAATAAATTTTTCTCAGTGTATTCCTACTGGAATACTACTGGTATTCCTACCACCTGAGTGTATTTAGGCTACTTAGAACAATTGAGCTCTTCCATTTTGAAGTAATATTTCTTTTGGTACTGTAACTCCTCGCTTAAAATAGACTCTTTGATATTGAATTTCTAAATTTTTAATACCATTTTCTCACTTGATGTCATTTCAATCTCATTAAAAGTAATGTGTCCTTATAAATAACTCTAAATTGGAGAGTTCATTTTTCTGTTATAAAAAAATTAAACTCGTTCCGAGTCATTCCGTTCATAGTCTCAAAAATTACCCTAGGCGAGAAATTACCCTATAACTTTAAATGTGCCTTACAACTGTTATACTGAGAGAAAAATTTGAATAAAATAAATACATACTTAGTTGTAAGAGTATGGTTTTGTGAGTATATCACTAATATATTTTATTCTCATTAATTATTACTATTATAACAACAAGTAAATTCACATTTAATTGGAAATTATCCCTTAAATTCTTTATTTTTAATAATATGTAGGTACCATAAAATTAATTTTTATTCTTAATATTTACACATTTACATTTTTATTTTATTTAATTGTCATAGATTTATTCCAAGTCAATAATAAGAAACAAAAAAAGAAATTTACGGGAAACAAAAAAAATTTTCCGCCTCTTTCTATCTCTCTGTCTCTCTCTTTGAAAATTGAATTAGAAAAATATTTATAAAAATGAAGCTATAAAACTCAATATTATTATCATGTGAAAATTTAATTAAGAGCAAAAAAAAAAAAAAGAGAGAAAATAAAAATGAAAAGAGAAAAAGAAAATCTTTACGAAATTCTTTTATTTTTCAATAATAATTTTTTTTTTTTATTTCATTTGTTATTTGCGTGCAATAATTATGATCAAATTAATAAGCACAATTTAATTATAATAATTTTTTTTTTCTGTATATAATTTTTTAACAAAATTCTTCTTCTATATTAAAAATTGGAATAAAAGTTTTTCGGTATTCCATTATGTAACATTGTTATGTGTTCGAAATAGGTTATTCAAGTCAATCGTTGTGATACTGTTATAATTTTGAGAGAAAATATATCAGTTTTGAATTAATTACTATAATTATATGAGAATATAATGATAGGAAATGAGAGACCGCAAGAGTAGGAAATTATTGAGTAAGCAGAATTAGAAAACAAAAAGCTTGATATTTTAATACTTCACTCTTCACCTCAGTTACACATATGAAAAATACATACTCGTATATACTCTGAGAGAGCAAGTAAATGAGAGTATTTCTTTTTACATAAGTTACAGTAAGTGTTATAATACGATAATTGTTCTGAGATTTGGGAAATAATATTAGTATGTCACTTTTAATTTTAAATTAAATAAATAAAATTATGTATATTTTGAATTTCAAATTAAGGTGAATTTCATATTCACCATATTATTGACAAACACAATCTATAAAACATTATTTGTGTCCGCTCATACACTCTCTTACTAATATTAATTTATAATTTTAATGTAAGCCATATTAAATACGGTATTTTTTCCAGCCATCTACAATCCATATACTCCTATGTTTGACCATAAATCTAGAAAAAAAAAAAAATAAAACAATTTCGAATAACTATTTTCGATATTTTTAACAATTATTTTTATTATAATAAATTTCAATGAATTGAATGTCAATAATGTCGTCTCTATTATCACAAAATAAAAAGAAATGAATAATAAGAAATAATAATAAGAAATCGGTCGGCATTCTCATAATCATATAATCAATATCATCATCATTATCATCATTAAAATCATTAACATTTTCATCGTTATTATATTAAATTCGTTGATTATTATTATAATAATCATTATCACTTTAATCAATTGTATTATTATTATTGTTATATTTTCTTGTTGCTTTTCTTTATATCTGTTTAAATATACATACATACATACATATATACAGAAAATATACAGTCGTCATGATAATTTAGCGACAAAATATTCTATTAGGATTTTATTTTTATTATTATTATCGTATATATATATATATATACTTAAATATTATACATATACATTTTTGTATTGTTACAAATACAACAATAAAAATGTCATTTTAACGCGACATTCAATTAAATTTTCTTTTTTTTTTTTTGTTTTGTGTTCTTTTTCTCATAAAAATAATCAATTTTTTGATGATAATCATCATCATCATTATTATTACTGACAAAATCATTATTACAATCATTGTTATCAATTTTATCAATATAACGGTAACAAAAAAAAAAAAGGAATTCTCTTTTTATTTTTTTATTTATATTTTTATTTTTGTATTACGTAATTAATATAAATATGTATGTGTGTAAGAATCTATATAAGCCTATTGTATGTCTTCTTTTTATAATAACAAATTAGGCACGTTGTATATATTCAGTTGACAGGGTAGATCGATCAAATACCAGTATTTTAATTAAATATCGAAACCAATATTTCAATGTATTCAAAGACACGAACCAAATATATGAAAATTTCGTTCCAAAAGAATGGAAATGAACACCAAAAAAATGATCAACTAGAACTATTCGGCATTCGGATTAATTAATGTTCCTTTCAAATTTTTTAACTTTTTAAATGTGATTACCTACCATCAATCTTTGAAATATAGCTTTTCGATCAAGTTTGTCTAAATTTCGCCGAATACTTTCAAACAGTAATATTATTATTCCCCAAATACAAAAAAACGAATATTTTATTGCATTTCAATAAAACGATTATTATATTGTATGCTCGTTTACGGCTTTGGCTGATTTCAGGCAGAGATTTCTTGGGTCCTACTTTCGATTTGTTACGGACTTTGGCCAGTTTCTGAGAACTCGGGCTTGTTCTAATGAACAAGAGGACCGAGATTCTATGGCATCACAACAGACTTAGGAGGCCTAAATGTACTCTTCTGAGGCTCGTACAACCTAACCTACTATATTTCAAAAAGAAGAATAAGTTTTAAATTTTTTCAATTTTTTACAGTAGGGCAATAAACGCAATTACGGGACCCCTTATTCTTATTCTATATGGAGTATATTTATATATTCTCTTACAATTATAACCATTAAATTCCTTTTCTTCTTTGTTATTTTTATAAGTATTGTAATGAGAAATAAAAAAAACAGGAAAGCAAAAATATCCAAAAAAAAAAATCTAAGATGTTTCCAAATTAAAAATTTGTGTATTTAGACACGGATGGTTGAGAATGGTATGCGAAGTATGTATAGTATGTACAATGTACTACATAATATAGTTATGTATTTTCTATATATACAGAATATACCGAAATAAGAAAAAAAATTAATATAGTAAAAGAACATGGTATAATAGAAAACATTTTAATCCTGTATATCCTTGCGTGTATAAAACATAGAGACTTCACATGATGTGTTCCGCTACTATACGTAAAATTAAAATATTTTTACTTATTTCTGATTAGTTGGCAATTTAAAAAAGTATAGAATTTTTTTGTTCATATAAATACTTTAATAATTGTCACTAGATCATGGTATATACAAATACTGAGTGATTTGAAATTAGTGGTCTCCGAAATTGTGATCAAATTAAAACTTGTAATTGATTAATTAAGTATATACTTTTACTGGAACATATTTTTCAGTTTTTCATTCATTCTTTAACCATTTGAACCGCAGCTGCGCTTTGACCTAAAATTTTTTAATAACAGTGACAGACAAACGGCAGAAAATGTAACTAAAAATTATTCGTACCACTTATAAAGTATATAACTAATACGGGGAATCTATAATTATAAATATAACGAATTAATGTTTTCTTTATTGAACTTTTTGGTAAACAGCGACACCAACGACAAAAATTGTTACTATACTTTGTTTGTATAATTATGCTTTTTCAATTATATTAACAATTCTAAAGTTATAGATTTGAAGGCTCTAAATCTTAAGAATAAATTTTTGTATACAATCGCAACTATAACCACCCTGTACTTTACTTATTAACGCATATAAAATAGGAAATTTATATAACAAAATCTTTTACTTTGAACATACACACATTTACATAATATTGTTGAATATCCTAGTTTTTAGAAATTAGATTCAGCGGGCAAAAACAAAAAGCAAAAAAAAAAAAAAAATAATGAATAAAATCGGTCATATTTTATAGTAAAGGCGTCACTGGATTTGCCTTATTACTAAAATTTTTGTCTTCTTCTTATAATTTTCTCAATTTCTTATTATGTTCACTCACTCACTCTCACTCTCTCTTTTAATACTCTAACTACTTTCATTATTGTAATTTTTCCTTATTTTTTTTTTATTCTGTTTTTACTACCATTAAAACATTTCAATATCCTCCTATAATAAAAATAATATGATCCTATGCCAAGAAAATTAAAATAACAGGAATAAAACATAACAAAAACGAAAAAAAAAAAATAAAGGAAGAGAATTTTCTCATTCTATTTAGATCTACTTTACTATACACGACCATAAAAGCTATATATTATTTTTGAAATTGGTGTAAGATTATATAATATTGTATTATAAAATAGAAAATAATGTTGTTATAAATGAAAAAAATCGAAAAAGACGAGGGAGGACAACAACCATAATAAAAACAATCAATAAGAACACAAAAAGAAAAGAAACAAAACGAGAGAAATTTCTCTAAAACAAGTATAAAAATGAAAATGACATAGAAATGAACGAATTGATTATTAAAAGAATTTTAGCATTAAAATGTATGAATACATATAATATATATGTATATATATCATTGATATATATATATATATCAATATAAACTGATTCTTTATACAGTATTAATTTATGTACAAATATCCTGGTATCTAATATGCCCGGATGGTTACATCCTGTGAGAATTATGCACAGAAAAAAAAAAGCAAACGAAAAAAAAAAAAATATACCCATATATTATTCGACTATATACCCATGGTATATATATATATATATATATATACTCATACTTTTATATTGATATATGTATATATATATATACATATTATATATATTATTTTATAGCATATTAAATTGGGAATTCGGTTGTTAATAAAAAAGAATAAAAGTTCAAGTTGCGTAATTTAATCCCAAACTATATATGTATTTATAAGAAAAAAACCAAAAAGGCAGAGTAGAAAAAACCCAATATAAATTTCATACAGCATACATACATGTAATGCATAGATACATTTATACAATATATATACTTATATGAACATTGAAAATGTGGGGCAATTAATTGACATTTTCTTCTCTTTTTTAATAAAAATAATATCTGGTATATATATATATATATATATATATCAAATATATATTCTTATATACCCAAAACGTATAAATTTACGAATTTAATATAATAAGAAAGCCAAACATATAGTATTGTCCAAAAATAATTATTGTAACATAATATGAAATAAGTTTTGTTATATCACTATACATATATATATATATATATATGTATATATATAGGTATATATAATAGGTTTATATACCAATTGTATTTTGTAAGAGAATCCAAAGAAAAAATCAAGTAAAAATTCTTTATTATCGATTTTAATTAATTATAAATTTTGATTTCAGAAAAATAATATGT